ACTTAAGATAAGGCCAGGGACTAATTAACGTATTTAGAAATTGGGCAGACTAGATGGGCCAAATTGGTCTTATCTGCGTCACATTCTATGTTTCTATGTTAAACTACGCAATTTACATTGAAAGAAACACTCTAAGCACCATAATGACTACTTGCATCCTGTAGTAGTTATGGTGTCAAAATTATCTTGGTGCCCCCCAATATAAGTAGTCAAACTACTTGCTTATGGCTTGGCAACTTGCTTGTAGGCCACCGTGTGCAAATCACTTCCTCCACTTAGAGCCTGAAGTTACTTTGCAGAGCTTCGGAAAGCTCTACTGAGTTAAACTACGCTTAGGGCTCTTATGAAGAAGGAGACCAGAGCATGGTGGACCTCAGGTAGGTTGTGACAACTTTAGCAAATGGTTTAACTACTTACATTATGGCGTGCCAGGGCACTACTGGCACAAAAGACACAACAGGGTGCTGTAGTGGTTGTGGTGTTTGAAATGTTGCTTTAATTAAGGGTAAGAGGAAAAAAAAATTTCTAAAAGGGAAAAATCAGTATTGGGTCACAACAGCTTAAACAAAGTGATGAGTCACTGCAAGCACATTTACACATCAACTATAAAAATGTAAAACCTGCTCACAGCCTGGAGGAGTATGTTTGTCCTTTTAAAAACAATACCAAAAATATATATATGTCTAACTTGAGAGATTTTCTACCACAAGAATAACACAAAGCAGAACCTATAGCAGCCAATGCCCAAATGGTGGTACATAGTAATAGCCAGGATCGGACTGGCCATCGAGCAAACCAGGCAAATGCCTGGTAGGCCGCGATGGCCATGGACCGAGGCCGGCAGGAAAGATCAAGAGATCTCCCCTGCCGGCCCATTCAGGGCAGCACAGGCCCCAAGATGGAGTTCTGTCCCATCATGGGCCCGAGGGGAGATTGGGAACTGACCAGACACCCTCCATACATGCCGAGCAGCTTCCTTTCCTCTTCTTGCGAGCTCCCAGATGGTAATCCGCAGCAACGTTATGAAAAAGCGTTGCTCGCGAGAGGGAGAGAGAAGTGGTCTGTACCCTGCGGAGGTACAGACCAAATAACCTGCCGGCTGGACCACCAGGAATCTGCGCTGTGTGCCCCTCTCACTGAACCACCAGGTATCTGCATGCTCTCTCCCCCATGCAAGCTTATAAGGGGGAGTAAATGTGATTTGATTTTGTTTTTACTTTTTTTTGTTTAATTATTAAATTAATATTTAAACCCATATCCAACCACTATATACATCCACTTCACATACACACACTGCATCCCCCTACAGTAACACACAAACACACTACACACAGTATATACCCCTATATACACACTACACCTCCGGCACTTACACACACTCTATACCCTTCTAGAAATACTACACCCTCTGCACTTACAAACAAGCACACTACACAGTCCCTACTTTGTCTCAGTATATCTCTTGACTGAGTTGGAATTTCAGTGAAATTTAGATTAATGAAGCACCTTTGGTATATAGATCACACCCATGCAGTTGCACTGCTCCATTTTCTTCCTGTTAAATCACTTTGTTGATGCACGTGACTTTCACAGCCTTCCTAAACACATTCTGTAATGAGATATCTAATATTTAAATTTCCTTTATTGCACATTCTGTTTAATTTAGAATTAAACAGAATGTGTTAATAACTTTCTAGCCCCAGCAGAAGCCTCATGTGTGTTATTAAAGTTCAATTGACTAAGCAGGAGATTTAAAAAAAATCTAAAGTAAGTTAACGTCTGATTGAAAATTAAACAATTTTTTTCCATGCAGGCTGTGTTAGTCACAGCCAGGAGAGGTGTGGCTAGGGCTGCATTAAAGGACCACTCTAGGCACCCAGACCACTTCAGCTTAATGAAGTGGTCTGGGTGCCTGGTCCAGCTAGGGTTAACCCATTTTTTTTTAATAAACATAGCAGTTTCAGAGAAACTGCTATGTTTATATAAGGGTTAATCCAGCCTCTAGTGGCTGTCTCATTGACAGCCACTAGAGGCACTTGCGTGCTTCTCACTGTGATTTTCACAGTGAGAGGACACAAGCGTCCATAGGAAAGCATTGAGAATGCTTTCCTATGCGACCGGCTGAATACGCGCGCAGCTCTTGCCGCGCGTGCGCATTCAGCCGACGGGGCAGATCGGAGGAGGAGAGGAGGCAGAGAGCTCTCCGCCCAGCGCTGGAAAAAGGTAAGTTTAAACCCCTTTCCCCTTTCCAGAGCCGGGCGGGAGGGGGTCCCTGAGGGTGGGGGCACCCACAGGGCACTATAGTGCCAGGAAAATGAGTATGTTTTCCTGGCACTATAGTGGTCCTTTAACAGAAACAAAAATGATGTAACTCCTCAATGGCAGAGAGTTAAGCAGTCAGACAGCAATGGCATGATCTATACACCAAAAACTGTGTAATTTAGCTAAAGTTGCTTGGATACCGATAGTGTCCCTTTAAAGAATGCAACTTAATTTACTTATAGTTTTTATGTGTTGTTTTGGTCCATTTCAGCTTTAAAAATATTAACAACCATATACCTAGGTGTTTTAATAGTATTTTAAAGTCATGGCTAAACACATTAAAATCCTATAACTCAGGCCTGACTGCAGCTTTCTAATGGACATTGAACTGTAAACATTTCACCAAAAAACACTCTCAATAGATTTATGTATTTTTACCTTCCTGTATTTGAGAATGTACATGTTGTTAACATGCTCTGAGCTTTTTTCATGCTTCTAGCTAAGGTTGTCGTGTCTCACTACATTCCCTTCACTGAGACTGCTAAATGAGGCTATGTTGAGAGAGGCCTAGCATTAGAGTGGATCACACAGAACACTGGGGGATCGCCATTGCACCCCAGATTTTAAAGGACCACTATAGTGCCAGGAAAACATACTCATTTTCCTGGCACTATAGTGCCCTGAGGGTGCCCCCACCCTCAGGGACCCCCTCCAGTCGGGCTCTGGGGGGAAGAAGGGGTTAAACTTACCTCTTTCTCCAGCGCCGGGCGGGGAGCTCTCCTCCTCTCCTCCTCCTCTCCTCCTCCTCTCCTCCTCCTCGGCTGAATGCGCATGCGCGGCCGGAACCGCGCGCGCATTCAGCCAGTCCATAGGAAAGCATTCACACTGAGAATGCTTTCCTATGGACGCTGGCGTCTTCTCACTGTGAAATCACAGTGAGAAGCGCGGAAGCCCTCTAGCGGCTGTCAATGAGACAGCCACTAGAGGCTGGATTAACCCATTTATAAACATAGCAGTTTCTCTGAAACTGCTATGTTTATAGAAAAAAGGGTTAACCCTAGCTGGACCTGGCACCCAGACCACTTCATTAAGCTGAAGTGGTGTGGGTGCCTATAGTGGTCCTGTAAGACATATGTTCCTTGAAGATCAGCACACCTGAAACCCAGATTGCAAAGATAAGAATTGTTGACATAAAATGTTGCCAACATAGTAATCCACACAGAGAAAAAATAGTGAGTAGGAGAAAATAGATATGATACATAATTCCCAGATTTTACTATTAACATGACGTAAAGTCATGATTTTATTAAAGACACGGAGGCGAGTATTATGCATAACTCTTTCTTTATTTCCTCAGCAGCAAAGATAGAGAAATATAAATATATCAAAAATGAAAGAAAAAACTGTATAGATACACAGGCAACCAATCACATAACAGAGGAAGTGACTATATAAGGCCTGTGTCTCCCACAATCCCCCTCTTTCTTGCGAAAACCGAAGACCAGGTAAGAAAAACGATATCCTGCTTGGCCAAAACTGGAAACTGGAACAATCCGACAATTTCAAGCTAAAAAAGAGAGAGAAATATGGTAATAACCAAACTCCAAACTGTGGACTTACCAAAACAAAACTGTTGATCATTCATATGATAAAGAAAAGAAATCTGAAAAATATGATAGATATAATTAATCAATATACTCATATACAACACATGAAGTTCACACAAGACAGACCAAATCTCAACATACCTGAACACGCCAATTGCATCTCGCTCCATACCCCACACCGGGAGGGTGGGAGGGAATAATACTCGCCTCCGTGTCTTTAATAAAATCATGACTTTACGTCATGTTAATAGTAAAATCTGGGAATTTTATTAAAGACACGGAGGCTCATATTATGCAAGTTCAAAGCTGTGCTATCACCTGAGATGCGATGTGTTCAATAGGTCTGAAGTAGAAGTCACGGAAGGTCGACTCTCGAGACCAATCCGCTGCACGCATGATGTCCTCCAGACGACAGCCGACTGCCGAAGCTTTGGAAGCCATAGCACCCCTCACCGAATGGGGTGTAAAGATAGACGTGTCTATACCAGCCGCAGACAAAAGCCAACGCACCCAACGTGCCAGGGTCGGAGTCGCCACAGGTCGGTGAGGTGTACGAAAAGAAATGAGCAAAGGTCATAGATCTGGTGAGCGAAGAGGCTGAGTAGCCTCCAGATAAGCCTTCAAACACTCCACCGGACACCCCTGGAATCTGGGGTACACGAAAGATCTGGATGCAGATTTAGTCCTTCTGGAAATGTTAAAAGTCACACCCTCAGGGGAGAAAATAACGGCGTCCCAATCAAGGGCCCTAACGTCAGAAACTCTCTTACACGAAACTAAACAAAGCAACATAACCAACTTGGAGGACAATTGCTTAAGGGTCAGTCCTTGGTTCGGATACCAGGACGACAGAAACTGAAGCATCACGCTAACGTCCCAAAAGGCAGAGAAACGAGCCTTGGGTGGACGAGCGAGGTGAATGCCCTTGAGAAGGCGACACACGAAAGGGTGCCTGCCCACGGGCGAACCATCCAAACCAATATGTCCAGCTGATATAGCGGAACGAAAAAGGTTGATAGTGCGATACGCCTTGCCCGAATCAAACAGAAAAGTGAGGTACTCCAAAATCAGATGGAGAGGGGCAGATACGGGATCCACTGCCCGTTCCATGCACCAACTAGACCATGAGCCCCATGAAGAGCGGTAGGCTGATCTCGTACCTGGAGCCCAGGCGTTATCGAGGAGCTGTAGAGTCGTCCTCGAAACGTTCGGGACAACCCAGGTTCCCCCTGAAAGGAGCCACGCCATCAGAGGTAACGGATGCCTGAGCACCAGTCCGTGCGAGTTCCCATCCGGATCCAGAAGAAGATCCTGGAAGCTCGGAATCAGTCGGGGGTAGTCTATCGACAACTCCATCAAGCGTGGGAACCATGGACGGGACCTCCATAGAGGCGTGATCAGCACCAGGCAACAATCGTGACGGGTCAACTTCGATATCGTGCGAGCAATCATGTTGAATGGTGGGAAGGCATACAGGCGTCCCGGTGGCCAGTCTTGGAGAAAGGTGTCCGTCACAACTGCTGCCGGGTCTGGCCTCCAGCTGTAAAACTCCGGGAGTTGAGTGTTCAGGCGTGAAGCGAACAGGTCCAACTCGAACCGTCCCCAGAGACTGTCCAGACCTCGGAAAACCGAAACGTGCAAGCGCCAATCTCCTGAGTCTCTTAAGTGTCTGGAATTCCAATCCGCTCCCGAATTGTCCAGACCTGGGATGTGTTCCGCCTGCACCGAGACGTTGTTGAGTAGGCAAAATTGCCAGAAGTCCTTCGCCAATAGTGCCAACATTCTGGACTTGGTACCCCCAAGGTGATTTATGTACCGGACTGCCGACACATTGTCCATCTTGAGGAGAACGCAGCAGTTTGCTCGACCTGGGGTCAGGCTGCGTATCGCGAATGGCCCCCGCCAGAAGTTCCAGACAATTGATGTGTAAGGACCTCTCTATGTCGGACCATCTGCCTCCGGTGGAAACGTCTCCACAACGAGCACCCCAGCCGTGTAAGCTGGCATCGGATTCTATCACGACATCCGGAATCGAACCGAAGATGGCCCTTCCGTTCCAGGCCTCCATGTGGGCCAACCACCATACTAGTTCGTCTCTGGACTCGTCGTCCAGCCGTATCCGGGATTCGTAAGATTGACCCGAACGTAGATGCGAACCCTTGAGTCGTTGGAGGGCACGGTAGTGTAGCGGGCCCGGAAATATCGCCTGAATAGAAGCCGCCAGAAGGCCGATAATCCTTGCCAGTTGCCTGACGGACATATCCGGCACCCGAAGAGCCCTTCGGAGCGCCTTTTGAATGGCCTTCATCTTGGAATCCGGCAAGTACAGGAATTGCCTGATGGAATCCACTTGGAAACCTAAGAATTCTATTGATTGTGTAGGGATCATGACCGACTTGTCCCAGTTGATCAGAAAACCCAAATTCTGGAGAAGGTTGATCGTCCAACCCAAATGTAACAGCAGAGATTCCCTGGACTGGGACATGATCAAAATGTCGTCCAGGTAAACAATCAATCGTACCCCATGGGTACGAAGATAAGCCATCACCGGCTTCATGAGTTTGGTGAAGCACCAGGGAGCCGATGAGAGACCGAACGGCAGGCAAGTGAAGCGCCACCGTCTCCCGTGCCACGTGAAGTGGAGGTAATCCCTGCAGTCCAACGTGATGGGGACCGTAAAGTACGCGTCCCTCAGATCCAACTTGGCCAACCAATCCGATTGCCGAAGGAGGTCTCTGAGACAGTGTATACCCTCCATCTGGAAATGTTGGTAGCGGAGAAATGCGTTGAGGGGACAAAGATTTATCACGGGACGGACCCCGCCTCCTTTCTTTGGCACCAGGAAAAGATTGCTCGTGAAGCCTGGAGAGGCCAACGGCATCTCTTCTATGGCACCTTTCGTGAACATCTCCTCTACTTCCTCGGAAATCATTTCGTCCTGATCCTGCGGGAGGGATAACTCTCTGGGGGTGCAAACCTGGACAGGCATAGAAACGAACTCCAGGTGATAACCCTTTACGCATTGCAAAACCCAAGCATCTGAGGTTATATCTGTCCACCCTCGGTAAAATAAGGCTAGCCTCCCTGCCACCCGTACATGATCGAGAGGGGAAAAAGGGGTACTCACCATAGGGACGTCTGCCCGAAGCAGCACCACGGGGGTATCTGGAGCCCCAGGATCTCCCTCTGGCTGGGAAGAAGGGAGGCGACCTTGCATCCTGAAATCCTCGGGAAGGAAAGAAGGAACCTCTGGAGGCCCTGAACGAGCCATGGAAGCCGCGGCCGGGTGGACGGTTCCTGCTACGCCCGGCCCCTCCGAAAACCTTGGGTGCGAACATGCGCTTCACATTCGCCTGGGCCTTGTCAATGGCCGTAAAGGTCTTCACATAGGAACCTAGGTCCTTCACGAAAGAGGTTCCAAATAGCAAAACCTCGTCAGAGGGGTCAGGTTCCGCTACCGTCATGGCAGCCAATTTGGGGTCGATCTTAAGGAGAATCGCCTTACGCCTCTCCGAAGACATGGCGGTATTCGCGTTCCCCAAAAGGCAGATCGCCCTCTGGACCCATCCAATGGACACATCGACAACCATAACGGAATCTCCAGCCCTAGCGGCATCTAGCAGCTCGTACAGTTTAGACAGAGGGCCCAGGGTATCCAATATTTTATCTTGGCATCCCTTGAGGGAGTAATCCAAACCCTTCTTGGGCTTCCAGCCTGATTTATTCAGGAACTGGGCGATCTGGGGGTCAATGTCTGGAGTCTTACAGGCCGAACCCGGGAGAGAGTGCCTAGGGCATTCGGCACGTAACTTGTTGCGACCCTCCTTGGAGAGGGGGGTACGCAGGCGCTTAGCCACATATTGTGCAATATGGTCCGGAGGGACCCACTCTGCTGACCGTGGGTGGCAAAGGTCGTCAGGGTCGAACAGGGGGTTACCCTGGGGGTCGAAAATGGCCGTACTGTCCCCAGAGGGGATCTTAACCTGACCTAGGGTAACGGCAGAGGATCCAGAGGGGGCAACCTCCGTAGTGGGCAATTCCTCGCCCGACCCGCCCTCATCGTAGGAGTCATACTCCATAACATCAGAGTCACGTTCCACACTCCGGTCGGTATCCGACTCATCATCTAGGGCTCTAGCCCTTTTCCATAATCTAGCCTTTTTAGCCCGGCCAGGGGCTGTTTTGCGCGTGGGGTGTTTAAAATATTACAGTTACAGCAGACCGGAATATAGCTTTAAAACAAACTAAATGGAAAGGGTTGAGTAACCCACAGGAAAGCACAGGAAAAACCTGCCCGCTGGTGCACTCAGGGGACCCAGAGACCGGGGAGACAGACCGCACGGCAGCAGAGTGAGCGACCGATCAGCCGACGGACCGCCCAAAATGGCCGCCGCAGTGCAGGAGATCGATCGCGGACTGAGCCCCGGCGGGGGAAGGGGCGCGTGCACCCTACCCGCGCGGGCAGCCCGCGATCGAGGAGAGCAGAACACAGCCGCGGCAGATGATGGCCACGGCTGGGAGATAGTACCAGGTCCTGCGCGGCACCCGCAGGGGGGAGGGAGAGCGCAGGGGAAATAGGATAGCCGGGAGGGGGAACCCAGGGCATGAGGCAGGGAATAGCCCGAGCACACCAGCGGAAGGTTGCACAGAAAAGGCAACCCAAAAACAAGCAACAACAAGCAATGAGAGCAACCAATAAACAAACAATAAACAATAATATCAGAAACAATCCAAGAATAAGAGCAAAATACTTAGCTGTCTGAGGAAGCAGCAAAGAAAGAGGGGGATTGTGGGAGACACAGGCCTTATATAGTCACTTCCTCTGTTATGTGATTGGTTGCCTGTGTATCTATACAGTTTTTTCTTTCATTTTTGATATATTTATATTCCTCTATCTTTGCTGCTGAGGAAATAAAGAAAGAGTTATGCATAATATGAGCCTCCGTGTCTTTAATAAAATTTGGGTTTTATCGTATTAACAGCTTCATCCCATTAAAATCTATGAGAACACTGATTTTAAATAAGCAGATATTATTCCTGGTAATATATTGCAGCATTTTGATTGGATTTGCTGGTTACTATTCACTTTTTTTTGTAATAAAATAAAGCTATAACATTAATTTTCTGTGCCGCAACAACAAGGAACTCTGTGCTCTTGTTACACAGTGCAGCATTATTGACCCACATTCATGATATTGACAAAATAGAGAAGCTGGCATCATCATTGTGCAGTTGAAGTGTCAGAGGTTCTGTATTGGTCTCTTTCGCATTACTGCGCTCTGGTTAGCCCTGGTTTGCTGGTGGTGTTCAATCCTTGCCAAATCCTGAACAAAATGTTATTTTTTGTGTATTGTGTCCCAATCGGTCAGTAGGAATTCTGTTTATAGTGATTTCTGGATGGATGTAGGCTGGCTTATTCTCAAAACCAAGCATGCCCTTATTGATTTGGTAAATGAAACTAACAGTGTATATATGCGAATGGGCAGTCTGGTTGGTTTATTTTAGCGTTGGTTGCAGTAGTGTTGTTATAGTGATGTATCGCTGTTACTGTTATTTGTATATAAGACTTTTTTCTAAATTTGTTTTTTTGGATGTGCAGATGAAGCTTGCACTCCTGAAAATTCGGATTTCTGGTCAACAGCGACATCGAAATTTAAAAGGAATTTTTTTTACAGCAAATTGGTTTCTTTCTGAGGAGTTGTGTGAAGTTATAGTTATTGATAGAACTAGCTAATCTATATCAAATTGAATAAAAGTAACTTGATGTTTATATTTCAAATGTGTTCATTACCAGTACAACTGATTAAGAAACATGCTTATATTTCTGCCCTTACTGGCTCTAGATATTGGAAGAGAAGAGCACAGTGGTATAAAGATTTCACAACCTATTGAAAAAGTGATTTAAAAAAAAAAAAGTTACAAAGTCAGTCTGCAGACCCAAAACTAGCAAACATGGACTTTTTTTTTCAGTATTACACAGGCTAGACACAGATCTTTTAACTATACATATAGTTAACAGGGCCTGGGGGGAAATTGTGAGAAGCAGGAGGATGAATTAAGCCTCCACTGGTTCTTCTTTATCAAGTCAAACAGAATCAACATTAAAGTTGCTGAACAGGTGAGTTTGTTTGTGCAACTCATGTTTATTCCTGTATTTAAATCCTATGATCAGGGAGATACGTTTATCACTGTTAATGACATAGAAAGTTAGTTACCAAATTTATTTTGCCTCATAGAAGCCGACACTTGGAGAAATTATTTAGGGGTTTGCTGTTAAGGGGGTAGTTGGGGAATCTAAGGGCAGGATAGCAAGTTATATCCTATATAAATGCACTTACAGCAGGCCCTGTCACATTTATTATAACAAAGAATAATATAAAAACTTTGTAACTAGATTGCTGATTTATTTTATGCAACATATATATATATATATATATATATATATATATATGTTGCATAAAATAAATCAGCAATATATATATATATATATATATATATGTGTGTGTGTTAAAAATATACAATTAAATCTGTTTCATTGTTCCCTATAACCAGTATAGAATTCCTGCTCCCTCCCATTCCCCCTCAGGTAAGTTGGCAGTGGTAGCATTTGTAGCCAGAGAGGATGTAAAAAAAAAGTATACAGAATGAGTTGGCTTGTATGGATTAACTTTCATCCCTCATCCTACAGCTCAGTAGATCAGGGAAGTAGTGGTGGATAATAGGAGCCCCTGGACAGTGTACTGAATATAGTTGGCACTTAAAGGGAAACTATAGTGCCAGGAAAACAAACTAGTTTTCCTCGCACTATAGCTTCCCCTTCTGTCAAGGCCTCTCTCGTCCATCCCCCCCCCCCTTTAACCCCCCAGTTCTGCC